TATGTGACCAGATGGCCACGTTCCGAAATAATGCTGTGATGATAATGTTTCACTTTAAATGAGCCGTAAGTAAATTCTGTTTTGGGGACCCAATTATAATGACGAATGTATCGTAGCAGTTAACCGTTTCTTAAATATATCCTAACATGTGATGAAAAATGGGTTACATACGACAATGTTCAACGAAAAATGCAGTTGATTTAGAAGGATACATCTCCACAATCGACCCCAAAAGATGAGTTCCGTGGAAGAAAGTTAATGTTGTGTAGTGACGTTGCCGGTGTATTTTTTCGTTTAGAGAACTTAAAACGCAACGAAACATTAAATGCGCATTTATACGTCCAGGAGCTGCAACGAGTCTATAGACATATAATCGAAAAGCGTCCTGGGGGCGCAAGAATAACAGGAGAAAGAAGTTGGTTGGTCTTCTCCTCCTTCTTCTTAACCGCCATATTAAACTGGCTTTGCATCAACCGATTATTAACTTTTTCGATCGCTTAATGGGAGACGCTTTGATGGAGGAGATTTCTTTATTGAAAATCCAATTCAAGAATTCGTCGAAAATTTTTTCACGTCAGATTTTCCGTACTTTAATCAAAGGTATCAAAGAGCTGACTACTAATTGGAAACAAATCATTTCAAATAATAGCGAATGTAAAATTAAATGAAAAGGAATTGTACATTATTTTTTTTAAGTATAAATTTGATAAAGAAAAACATAAATTATTAAAAATTATTTATGACTCAACCTAATATATATATATATATATATATATATATATATATATATATATATATATATATATATATATGTGTGTGTGTGTGTGTGTGTGTGTGTGTGTGAACATTGAAGTCAACATTCAGAGGCGAGGGCTGTTTCATGCTAGACGCAATCGTCAGGTGGCCTGACGATTGCGCTCAGCATGAAACAACCTATCGCCTCTCAGTGTTGACTTCAATGTTCACTTTATATTTATATTTACATACGCTCTATCTGTAAAATTGAGCACTTTATCCCATAAATATAGCACACCTTAAAACTATATATATATATATATATATATATATATATATATATATATATATATATATATATATATGTAAGCAAATATATGGATATAGATCCGACAGTATGAAGAAAAATATACAGAAAAAACAAACAAAAATCTTAATATGCAAATGCTGTAATAATGTTAATAGAAAGTCAACGTCGGACGTTTCGGTGTATTTTAGAATCTTCAGGACATATTCATAAAACATAATTAACATTAAAAAAATATAAAATTCAAAATAGACCGAAAAAAGTCCGACGGACATATTAACTTTAATATAGTTAATTGCATATTAAGATTTTGTTTGTTTTTCTGTATATTTTTCTTCATATATATATATATATATATATATATATATATATATATATATATATATATATATATAGTCAGAATCACCCACGAAAGGCAGTATATCCACTAGAACACAAGGGGTTTACAAGATGTGGAAGAATCAGGAACAGAAACATTAATGATCAGAAGAAAAAGAAAGGAGTAATAAGGTGCACAGCAGATAGCGATTGACATTACATTTAAATTTTTGCAGATTAAAGTTAAAGCTGGAAGGGAGTTCCATAAGGGAGAAATGTGAGAAAAGTAACTGTTAGCATAGAATTTACGGTTACATCTCAGCCAGCTCAAGTGTAAATTGATGAGATATCGACGCCAGTCTCGTGCTGCACTTAAATTCAAAAACATTAGGGACCATAGAGGAGAGGTCATTAGAACAATTACCATGAAAGTATTTACAGAAAATACATAGAGAGGTAACCTTACGGTGGTGGGAAAGTGACTAGATCTGAGCTTTCAGATCCGGACCAATAACATTGCAAATTCTTCTTTGGATATCAAGGAGCTCATAGTAAATAGCAGGCGAACTGGATCATATGTGCTAGCAATATTCTAAGCATGGACGAATGGTAAACACAGATATATAAGATGGATTCTGGAGAAAAAAATTGTCTCGCCCGTCATAGTGAACCGACTTCCTTAGCAGCTGACCTAGCAATGGATTCAATATCATCTTTCCACTTCAATCAGCAAAGAACATGAGCCCGAGAAGGCTCAACGAGTCACTCTCTCAGAGGGTAGCATCAGCCATGCTGGTGGAATCAGCAAGAGGTCTTTTGGATGATTAATGGAAAGAAGTTTAGTTTTGGAGGCGTTAAAATTAACAAGCCATCTTTTGCCTCAGTTAACTACGGACTTGAGGTCTTTTTGGACATCGGCTGCCATTTTGACCTAATCAGATTGATAAGCCTTAGTATCGTAACAGGTATAAATTGTGTCGTCATCGTAGATACCAAGTTGAGAGATGATGTCATCAGGAAGGTCATTAATGGAACTTAAAATAGAGTAGGACCAAGGATATATATATATATATATATATATATATATATATAAAGACATTTTTATGTTTATACATTCTTTTTATAGATACAAATATTTAAATAAATGCTCTGTTAATAATAAACAGTATTAAACAACATTTACCGGCCTGAATGTCCGAGAAATTTTCACAGAAAATATTACGTTATCCAAGTAATTTAGTTCCGTCAATGCTCTGTATCTATGACTTTTTTCAGTAATATGAATTGGTAATAAATAATATAAAGACAAATTTAGAATTTATATGCCATATAATAAAAAATGTGATATGTGAAATAAAAAACACTAGAGGTGATATAGCAAAATTGTTCAGAAATTTGAATTCACCACATCAAACTGTCCTGGGTATGACGATAAACAGCATCCGCCTCCTGGGTAAGACGATAAACTATGTCCACCAGAATGGCCTCTGATCAGAAGGTTTTGAGGAGCGTGGAACCACCTCTTAACTGCTGGTGTTTCCAGATCCACCCTGACCCGGAGTGGTACCACCTATTAGGATGTCAGCCATTGGCAAATAGTTAACCCCCAAAACCGGGGTCAAAACGAGCAAAAATAGGTTTTAATACCAGTAAAACATTTTGTAAAAAAATTATTACCAGCAAAACATTTTTTTGAAAATAATATATTACCAACTAACATTTTTTTGAAAAAAAAATATTACGAGCTATATATTTTTTTGAAAAAAAAATATTACCAACTATACATTTTTTGAAAGAAAATATATTACCAGCTATACATATTTGAAGGAAAATTATTACCAGAAATAGATTTTTGAAGAGAAAGAGTGTTACCAGAAGTAGATTTTTTTGAAGGAAAAAATATTACCAGAAATAGATTTTTTTAAAAAAATATTAACAACAATAAAAATTTTGTCGGCATTAAATAACCCATTGAGGATGATATGCCGTAAAACAAAACAAACCAAACCAAACGACATCAAAATTACTAGAAAAACGTCTATTCGCATATTTTCCTCACAGAAAAATCTTTTTTATGTCAGTGTTATCTGAAAATAATTTTTCGCACGCCTTCACAATAGATTTTGTTTGACAGGTGTTTCCAAATGTTGATTACCAATTGCAGATGAAGGTCCTCTAGCATTTTCAAGACTCATATCCCTACTGTGGGAATCAGCGTCATACTGTCCGATCACAAGTGGCTCTTTCATTTCATGCTTTGTTAATCTTGGCAGCAGTTTGAGAAACACGATAGGCAAGCTTCACTTCATGCAAAAAAAAAAAAGTAAACACACCCATTTTTTTTTTTTGTTTTGCTTTTTCATGTTTAAGATAAGGTGAATATAATGTTTTCAGTTAAATTCTGAAAATGTATTGACATAACATTACGAAAGACGACATTTTAATCATTACGAATGGGTAATATATTTTTTACGCAAATATTTTAATATATGCCATTTCTGACCTTAGGTCTCTGGTTAGGACCCGCAAAGAAATGAGTAAACACCAGAAATAAACGATCAGAAAAGAAAAAATGATGACGTCGATCATAATCATGATCATGATCATGATTAACTTTTCCTTTTCTTTAATCTTTTCTTTGTTTTTCGATTTTCATTCCAGTTCCATCTTTCTCGCCACTGGTTTTTCCAGTGGCTTTTTTTTATCTATTTTATTTCTTCAAGTTTGTAGATTAAATGCTTTCTTTTATTTCTTTCTCCGAATTTGTGACATAGCAAGAAAACCTTTGTCTTTCCTCTCTTTTCCGTTTTCACATTAAATTCTGTGGAATTTTGCTTCTAAGTTATCGAAGAGTTGCCTGATAGGTGGCAGTGAAAGACATTACAAATAATGGTTACTGTATAATTGAATAAAAAGTAATTGTATTTTATTTTTCTAAGATTAAAATTGACAAACAAAAGCGGAGATTATTTATGAAACAATTTAATAGCTGGATATCATTTTTACCATGTTTAGATCCAATTTTGCTTATTTATACTGGACTAAAATACTGACTCATCGCAGATATTTCATGGTTTTATACATTTTGCTTTTCTGCAAGTACAGGGTGTCCATAAAGTTCGTGTGCACTTTAAAAAATTTATAACTTTATTTGTATTTGCGATAGAAATAATCTGTAAAAAATGTTATAAAGTTTAATGTACCTAGTTTTAAGCATAGGTAAAATAACTAATGTGATTTCGGGCATTACTGTAAATCAGTTGGCAAATGTTTTCCGTGAACTGCAAAACCGTATTACACTTTGTATTGCTAATGATGGCGGATATGTGGAAACTTAAATAAAATTTCAATAAAACCTTAAAAAATATAGGTTTACTTCTTTCTAATCCTTTTTACAAATTATTTCTATCGAAAATACAAATAAGGTTATAAGGTATTTCTTAAATAATATAAATATAAGCTATTGTGGGTGTTTTTCTATTCTAGTTTAATACTGATTATTTAAAAAAAAAACTTGAATTCTAATAGAAAAACTTAATTTCAATTCGAAAAAATTTCCCACCCGCTCACACGTTGTTATTATGATTAAAATAAAAGCCGACAAAAATAAAAACATAGACGAAACAAAACAAATCATTTCATGTTTCGTGATTCTTTCCATTTCGTCTCGTCATCACTTGTCAAATTTCATATTACATTCCACCTTACCGCCCACTCCTCGACAACGAGACGAGCCTCGTTCGACGCTTGAGAATTTGGTCTTAATGGTTCTATGCTCATCAGTGAGTATGCTCGCGCGTGTTTGTGTTGATGGAAAAGAGGGTGAAAAAAAAAAAAAGCCGGAAGATTAACGAATCGGGCAATGCAGAGAGAAGGAAGATTTCGTTATTGTGGCAAGGAGTGGGGCACAAGGAAAAGATTATGCAAGTCGGGGGGGGGAGCTAAGTGATCATCACCGTGATTCTGCTCGCATGAGTACGAGGAATTGTGCACCCTTGTGCACGTTCAGTAATAGCCTGTATAAAAATGATGAAATGGTCCTTGAACCAGAGTGGATTTGTGGGGATCAGAACCGTGGAAGGGTGTCAGCAAATAGGGATAGAGGTGGGGAGTCATTCATTCTATCCCCCCTTTAGCTCCTAATGTGTGGTCTTTATAACTAATCCATCCGCTCGTCTGTCCTTCCATCCATCGTTCTCTTTCCCCTTTTCTATATATCCACCATCTTTCATCACAGCTCTCCATTTTTCATCTTGCTTTCCAATTTGCAATATTGCTCTCCCCATTTCATTCTTACTCGCCCCTTTTCCTCCTTGCTCTCTCTCCTTTCATCCTTGTTCTCCAATTTATCCTTGCTCTCTTTTCTTCTTTGCCCTCCCTTTCTTATCCTTGTTCTCTCTTTTTATTTCCGTCGTTGTTCTCACTTTCTCATTTCATCCTTGCTCTCATCTTTTAATTTCATCCTTGCTCTCTCTTTCTCATTTTATCCTCGCTGTCTTCTTTTCAGTTTTACTACCTCCCTTTCTTTCATCCTTGCTCTCCCCTTTTTATCCTTGTCCTCTTCTTTCACCCTTGTCCTCTCCTTTTCCTTTCAAAGTTGCTCTCTCCTTTTCATCCTTGCTCTCTCTTTCTCATTTTATCCTTGCTGTCTTCTTTTCAGTTTTACTACCTCCCCTTTCTTTCATCCTTGCTCTCCCCTTTTTATCCTTGTCCTCTCCTTTTCCTTTCAAAGTTGCTCTCTCCTTTTCATGCTTGCACTTTCTTTCTCATTCTCGTTATTGCTTTTTTCTGTTCATCCTTGCTCTCTCTTTCTCACCATTGCTTTCTTTTTCTACTTTCACCTCTGCACTTTCTTTTTATCTTTGTCTTCAATCTTTCCCCCCTCCTTTAAATGTCCTTCTCAGCCTTTGTCCTCGAAATCTTAAAATTATTTTCTGTTCTGGCTTTATTATTTCCTTTCATTTTACTTGCTATTATCTTTTCTCACTGATATCTGTCCTCCGTACTGCCTATGCGCAAGTCAACCCATTTGATCATCTGTATTCCTACCATCCATCTGTGTCATTTATCTGCCCACCCGAGAATCTGTCTTCTCGTCTAATTCAAGGCTTCTTTCACATTCTGATTTCGTGAACGACGGTTAGTGGCTACCTTTCCAGCATCGAAAGTTTTCTCTGTCCACCCGTACATTTGTGCTTTTTTTCTATTCGATTGCCGATTTGTGCATCGTGTCACCTTGTTCGACGGATCATCTGTCTGAATCTCTCTCTCTCTCTCTCTCTTTCTCGCTCTCTCTCTCTCTTTCTCGCTCTCTCTCTCTCTCTCTATCTATCTATCTATCTATCTATCTATCTATACCCCTCTCTCTCCTTACACTTTTTCTCCACCCACACCCTCTTATCTCTCACTCTATCTTTTTAAATCGATGATATTAATACGCAAGCGACATTGACAAATTCATTCTACTTTTTATTTGTGTTCAAAATGCATTCGACAGTAAGAAACAAACAAATAGATTCAGGTTCTTTTTCACCACCAAAAGCTTACGTCCACAAGTACGTTTGCCTAAAAAGATGACGTTACATTTCTCAGAAAAAAAATAAACCCCCATATCTGTCACGGAAAAAAAATCTATCCCTCACATCTGACCTTGATGTGAATTAATGAAATAAGGTTAACATATCAAATCTCTTTTGTTCTGGAGGAGATTAACAAAAATGCATCCAAATGTTATTCGCGTCATTGTCAATATATTTCTTTTCTTCGCGGCTTTAACCGCTTCTTCAGGCAGAGCTGTTAAAATCTGGTAACTTGACTGAACTGGACACCAACTAAAAAGATATACAAGACTGCCCGTTCGAGACAAAGGTGGGAATATTTTCATTCTCCGATATCAAATTGCTGTTAAAATTTAACCCTTAACAATACGAACTAAGTTTCTAGTTAACGAGAAAAAATGAAATTTAATCTTCATTTTTTTCTTTTTACGTTACCATATTTCAGCATTACGGATGTTAGCTTTTGATGGTGACTCATGAAAAACCTCAATAGCAAAACAAAAGATTTGATTAATTCGATTTTTACAGCTTATCAACCCTTTAATTTAAAATCAGAAAATATTTTTAAATTTTACGATTTTTTTTTTTTGATAATAGTGGTTTAGCGATACAAGCCCTACTAATTAACCCATAGCTGGGAGAGAAGAAGTAAATTCATACCTTTCGCAAAAGCATTTTCGCATAACTTAATAAGATGAACCCAACGGGAATTGGAACTCGGTTCCCCGATTGACAGTTTCGAGCCATTATCTATCTCACCAACCGCGCATCCACTTCCGAAGCGGTCACCCATCTAGTTACGAAAGGAAAGAGTGGGTGACCAAAGAAAAGAGAAGCGTTAAAATAAAAACTTATTTTAAAGATGAAGAAGAAAGAAAGAAAGAATTAGGGACAAATAATAAGAAAGAAAGAAAGAAAAAGAAAGAAAGAAAGAAAGAAAGAAAGAAAAAGGGGAATGAATTAATAGAAGAAAGAAGGAATAGACAAAAGAAATAAAGAAAGAAAGAAAGAAAGAAAGAAAGAAAGAAAGAAAGAAAGAAAGAAAAAGACAAGAAAGAAAATAAAGATAAAATAACGAAGACAAACGAATTGAAGAAAGAAGGATTACTGACAAATGTATTTAACAACGTAAGAAGGAAAGAAATATGTAATGTGTTAAAATAGAGGATTAATGGACTGATGGGAGAAAAAGAAGGATGGAAGGAAAGAAGGAAGGAAGGAAGAAAAAAGATGAAATGATTAATAGACAAAAGAAAGAAAGAAAGAAAGAAAGAAAGAAAGAAAGAAAGAAAGAAAGAAAAAAAGAAAAATGAAATGATTGATAGGCAATCTGCTGAAAGAAAGAAAGAAAGAAAACTGAAATGATTGATGGAGAAAATAATGAATAATAATAAATAATGAATGAATTAACGAAAGGAAGGAATGAAGAAGAAAGAAAGAGTAAGTCAATAACATTTATTATTTGTTCATATGAAGGCATAGAAACCTTTTAAAATGCCTGTTTCTGTTTCCAGCGTATGAAGAGCCGAGTGAAAATGAAATTAGCAAATTCCACAAGGTCTACGCTTTCTTATCTTACACCGTGTGCCCAGGGTGAAGAAAAGAGTTGATTTATGTGAAATCGTTTAACAGACGCAATATGTTAGAGTATTCTTTAACCGTTCGTTTAAAGACCTTATCGTCCCAGCAACAAAATCGCTAGATAGTTTCGTGTTCCATAATTTACCAATGTAATTGTCGCCGTCGTCGTAATGGTAGGAAATATTGTAGCAGTTTGTACAGTCGCTGCATCCTTTTGTAGTTTGTATAACTCTGAAACCTACCAGACAGCTTCTCGTTTTCAGTCATTATGACTTGTTGCCTAGAGCAATTGTTCGCAAAGTTATCAAGTCAGTGGGACATTTGTCAGTTAAAAGCTTGACAGCTCGATAATGCCATACACGATTAAATAATACTATAGTGGCAATATATAGATGTGAAGGAGAACTGAGTTCAAATTCCAATGTAGTTTGCTATATTCTCTTACGCGCAAATAATCTTGGGAAAAGAATGAATCCAATACTAGAATAGACTGGACACTTAAGCCTTGGCTGGTAAAAATTTTAGAAGGCGAATTCTGAATTCAAATCCTGATGAGGGTTGTCTGGAGATCTTGTAGCATTTCTCTGTATTCAGTTCTTTCGAAAAGTGTGATTGATTCGGCACAAGCTCTCACCACTATAATCATAGCGTTGAAAAACCGGTATCCGTACGATCACCGAAGTTAAGCAACATCAAGCGAGGTCAATACCTAGATAGGTGACCGCTTGGGAATACAAGGTGCTGTAAAGCTTGAATGTGCGGTGGGTGTTACGGATAATGGCTTAGAATTGTTAATCGGAGAGTCAGGTTCCAATTTCAGCTGGGTTCATTATATTCACTTACGCTCAAATACACTTGGGAAAGGTATAAATCCAAAATTCTCCCCCGAGCTAAAGGTTAATTAGTAAGTATTGTATTACTATAATCAAATCATATATGCAGACATTTTTTTCAGGGCTATACTGTTGGATCCTCGTACGTTAATGTAGTGGCCCTGTTAAAGCCAGAAATAAAGACACGGGAGGGGAATTGATTTAAACAAATATATTAACAGAAACAGTAATACAAACATATAAAACGAGAGTGTTACAGCAAGAATGTTCGGTCCGACTGTCAGAGCTGACTGCTGGAAACTTCCGCCAAAAGGCAGTACCTGCTCCTATTTATAGCTGGGAGAGTCCATGCTGCGTGGGTAAATTAACAATCAAGAAGAGTGATTTTGGTCCTAATTTCAACAATAGATATTTCAACAGAATTTGACTACGTCCAACCTTCATATTTTTTTATTCTTAATTTCTCTTCTCCTCTAGAGGTAGAAAGAAATTAAGATGAATACGTATTAAGTTGAATCATAAATAATTTCCAATTTTATTGTTAAAAAGAATAAAGTACAATTGCATTTTATTCAGTAAAATATTCACAGTTCTTTGCAATGAGATTGTGCCGTGTCTTCAATATCTTGGAGTAAAAAT